TGTATGAATGTGGGCGGGTCTGTGTGGGTGGGGTTGATATTGTGTGTGTGTGTGTGTGTGTGTGTGTGTGTGTGTGTGTGTGTGTGTGTGTGTGTGTGCGCGCGCGTGCGCAAGTGTGGAAGTCAGTGTTGTGTGCGCGTGCGAGTGGTTAGGGCGGGGTGCCTGGAGCGACGCGAGTGTGAAAGGGGCGCGTGCGTCGCAGGAGTGCGGCAAGGAGGCCCAGGGGTTCCGCCCGGGCTGGGCCGTGGGTTTGGAGGGTGGAGGGGTGAATGAGATAGCAGCCACCACGCCGGCATGCTGACGGGGCGAGGGGAAAGGGCAGCCCAGGGGCGGCGTCAGGGCAGCGCGGCTGCGCGGAAACAAGCTGCTGCGCCGACAACGCCCGCTGCGCGCTGGCCGCAACGCCACTCGCGCGCCGGGGCCGGCCATGCTCAGCGCTGCCGCCGCGGCACGGGGATGCTCACCTTTGCCGCCGGCTCCGCGGCGGGCGGCGGCGCACCGTCTGCGCCGTCCGCCGGCGGCGGCGGCGCGGCGGGCGCCCAGTCCTTGCAGCCCGGCGGCACCTGCGCGCACAAGGGAGGCGAGGGGCCGGGCCACATGCATATGGCCTGGTTCATGACGCACCGCCAGCGCACGACACCCAGCACCGCCAGTGAGGCCGAGTGCGAGGCGGGCCCGGCGTCCACCCTGATCGCCCCTCAGAACTCCTGGAACCTCTCCACTGCGATAGATCACTAGATCACCAGATCACCAGATCATCAGATCATCAGATCACCCACGTGGAAGGCCATCTCGACCAGGGTGTCCTCCTTGTCGTCCGCCGCGGTGTCGTCGACGTGGAATTCGAGCATCACCTCGTCCTGCGGAGCATATGCGATCACCGCACGACACGAGCGAGGGGTTCATGGGGCAGGCGCCCCGTGGAGGGAGGGGAAGTGGGGTGCCCGTGACAGCCGGGTGACGTCACACGCGGAGCACTGGGGAGGGCGAGGCGGCCGGCCCCGGGGGAGGGCGCTGGGCGCAAAGGGCGGCGGCGGCGGCCGCAAGGCGGCGGCCGCGCAGTGGGGCCGGCGGCTGGGCGGCAGCGGCAATACCGGCGAGAGGGGCGGGTGCGGGCGCAGGCGCGGGGCGCCGCACCTTGGCCTGCTGCGCCTGGCTGACGTCGGGCAGTGGGACCTCAAACAGCACCTGGGCGGCGCGGCAGTTGTGGAGGGCCCGCTCTCTTGCGGGGCACAAGGCTGCGCGCAGCGACGCGCCGGCAGAGGCAAGCCGCCTGGCTGCTGCACTCTGCCCGCCCCCGATGCCCCTCTGCACATGACTCCTTCCACAAACCCTCACCAGACATGCACACATACACACAAACACACAATGGGACATCACACCCGCACGCACACACACTGCACGTCCCCGCGCTGGCACCCGGGCATGCCCCCGCCCCCCCACCTTCCCGTCGCGCGCCATCTTGAGGCTGGACCCCCTGAGCGACACGCTGCCCCAGTTGCCGCCCGACACCGCCAGCTGCTGCTGCTGCAGGGGCGTGCTGTAGGAGGCCTGGAAGAACTCAGACAGGGACTCATAGTCCTTTGGTTTGTGTTGTTGGGGGGGGGGGGGGTAGAGGTTGATGTTTGGTGGGGTGTACAGGGGTTGGGAGCGGAGGGACTGGGATTAGAGAGGGGAGGTACGCGGACGGGCGCGCAGGCGCTTGCTGGCGCTCACGCGCTGGGGCGGCGGCGGGGGAGGGGGCTGCGGGCCGCGGGCCGCGGGGCTTCGCGGGCGTCGCCGCGCCGACCCCAGGCGACGGCCAGCTCAGCAGCGGGCTGCACCACCAGCCCGGCCAAGCACGCTTCGTCCCTGAACCATGCCGTCTGCTCGGCATGGCCACGTCAGATCACATCAGATCACATCAGATCACGTTCGACGCGCACCTTGTCCCTGAAGCCCACAAAGTTGACCGTGGCCCCCTCTCTGCGGGTGACCCCCAGCTGGCAGCCGCGGCCGCCGGTCTTCGTCCACAGCAGCCCGGTCACATCTGCAGGCCAGGCAGGAGCGCACGTGAGTGCACGCGCGCGCGCGAATGGCCGGCGGGCGCCGGCGGGCGTCGGCGGCGCTGGCAGGTCGGCGGTGCTGGGGTGCCGGGCGCCGCCGCTCGACAGCTGCTTGCACCCTTCCTGCCAGGGCTTGTGTAGGCGTATGGAACGGCCCGACTCATGCCGGTGGCCCATTTTTCTGGTGGTGCTGAGCGTCCAATGCCTCGTGCCGAAACGCCGGGGGCTGGGACGGCTCCGTGGCAAAGGGGCAGGGAACCCCACCATCACCCGCAGACCTCACGCCCGCGAGCGGCTGCCGGGCCGGCTGCGGCGAACTGCGCCCGCGCACCGTCTCTCTTGACATCCACGGTCTGCCCGCCAGCTTGGCTCCGCCATACGAGGCCGTTTGGATTGACACGCAGCACGCCGGCACGCTGCGCAGCGGGCGGGGATGCGCGCGCGCACACGTGTGCACAGGTAGCATTGCGGATCGGCATGCTCGAGTGCCCGGTGCAAGAAGCATTTTATTGCTATCATCTCACCGCTCCTCCGCGACTGCTTAGTGAGATGTTGCCATACTGGTGATTTGCCCCGGCTTCGGCCATCCTGCCCAGCTCGCGTCCACCAGAGGGACGCTGGCAGCAGATCTATGCTACTATTATGTAAAAAGTTAGTGTTTCGGCGTGGAGGTCCGCAGCGAGCCCCTCCAGATCACGTAGCTCTAGGCGGGAGGGTGGGTGTAAATGCACCCTTGCATATGAAGTGTCGAAAAAAAATTTGATGATGCTGCATATTGCACGAGTTTTGTTATGAGACGCACGGCATGTCATGCCGTCCACGCAGCCACCTCGCTGCTCTTGCTGTGCACAGCACGACAGGTCCGCTCAAGCCGCAACTGGTCCAGTCCCGTGGCCCCGGCGCCCAGCCCACGGCAGGATGATTCCCCGGATGCGCTGAGCAATGCATTGGCATCTACACTTATCCTGGAACATTGACTGCCCTGCCTGCACCCACCAACACGACCACCATGTGTGGCAACTCTATCTGCACAGGACATATGGAACTGCTGTGGAGCTTCACTCCTCCGATTGGGTAGGACTATCTGACACCGAGCAGACCAACTGTCTGCAGTTGTATGAGTCATTAATCTGCACCCTCCTCCTCGTCTGCCCCCTCCTCCGTCTCCCACTTCCCCTCTCCCGCCGCCGCCTGGCCCTCCGCCGCCTCGCCCTCCGGTTTCACAGCTGCACCTGACTGCAGCGCAGCCCACTCCGCAGTAGCAGGCATCTTGGCCTCAAACTCTGGCGGGGCCCAGCCAAAGTGGTCTTCAGTGATCTGCAAGCCCCCCACATCCCAGCCGCGCAGCTGCGCCTTCTTTGGGGCCTACTGGCGGTGGCGCAGGCAGGCGCGCTTCGCCGGCGTCCCGCCGCCCCGGAACACCAGCGACTGCGGGTGCAGGTGCCTGAACGTCAGCGCTGAAGCCAGGAGCACCCCGCACGGCGGCCGGGGCTACGGCTCTGGGAGAGGTTCTATCCACCCTGCGCGCTCCTGCTCTGCACGGGGCCAAGAAAAAGTCCTGCTTTGCCGTGGCCTTGAATTACCCAGGGGGGCACCTGTGCCAAGGTGACCGCCCCTCTAGCCCTGCAGCTGCACCTGCTGCAACAGCTGGCCGTCCCTCTTTTCAGCAGGTGAACGCGACTCCCGGAAGCGCAGGTTTGCAGAGACAAAAACGACAGGCTGTATGAACGAGAGAAGAGCCTGAGCCCACCAATGAGGAGGCTTGCTCGCCAGCAAACAGCGCAACCAGACAGCAGGCACGCATGCAAAACCATATGCACGCAAGGGACAAGCCATATGCCTACATGCAAATACACCAACATCACACCCTGAGCTGATTGACCCTCCATAAAATTTCGCATCGCTGGTGCTCAATCCATCGAGCCCCCCATGCCCCCTGCTGCCATCGAGCCGTCACTCCTATCACCCCACCCAAGCCCCCAAACCCCACACTCACACCGAACCACCCATCCTGGCACCACCCACCCATGTCGCCCCACCCCCCTCTCGACCTTGCTTCCCTCCCGTTCGACGTGCGCGCAAATGCAGTTGAGTTTACACACAGGACGAAGGAAGAAGGTGCCAGGCGGGCGCTGGGGTGTGGCTGCCAAGCCCCCAAAGCGGACGCCGCCCAGCCTACACTCAACAATTTTGCAGGTTTGTGCACGTGCACCAGAAATCTTGTGTTGCCGCTTTGGCCGGGTCCCATGCCTGCGGCCGCCGAGGCAGCGGCGGGCGCGAGTCTCTAATCCGTCTGCCACGTTCACATCTTGCTGGGAAGTTCTGCCGCTCAGAAGTGATAAGGAAGCTGCTAAAGAACATGGGGCGCTGCATGGGAGGAATCCGGGGGAATCGGGGAGGCAGGGGCCGGCGGTGGGGCGGGCGGGTGGAGCGCGGGCGGGCGCCCATCGCGCAGGAGCTTGGGGCCGCCGCGCTCGTATGTTGACGGGCAGGACGGATATGAAACAGAGTCGGGGGCACTGAGGTATGAGGCCGGTGGCGGGGCCGTGCGGCGGGCCATGCCGCACTGGCACTGCCCCCGCAAATGACCCGCGCCAGGGCGGCTGCGGCGCACGGGCCGGCCGCCGCCGTGGCGGCCGCCCCATCGTCCGCGGGCGGCGGCGCTGCGGCGCGGCCTGCTTGCTTTTTGCTGTGCGAGCACGTGTGTGCTGGCCCCAAAACTGGTCTGGCAGCCCACGGGCGATGCCGCGCGGGATGAGCGAGGGTCCCGAATCAAGCAAAGGCGACAGGAAAGGCATGCGATGCGGGGCGGGCGCCGGCCGGGCACCCTTTGAGGAAGCAAGTGAGCGCCACCGCTGAGATCATTGCGAAGATTTTTGCGGAGATCTTCGCGAATCCTCCCTCTGTTGCCGCGGGAGGGAGGTCCGGCGTGCTCGCACAAACGGGTGGCCGGCGGCGGCGCGGCGCGCCAAGGTGCGGCTGGGGTCACGATGGGGGGCGCAAGAGAGGGCTAAGAGATGCGGGCAGGCGCAAAGCAACGGGCGCGGCCGCGTCCACGGCCCCGTACCAGCAACGACGGCCCCTGCCAGACGCAATACGAAAGGGCCCGGCACGGCAGCCGGGCGCGCCGGGCTGCGCGGCCCGGTGGGCGCGCGCGCAGGCGGACGCCCCTCGGGCGGCGGGCGAAAATACTGTAGCTCATCCTGGGCTGCTTTGCACTACGCAAACGGCGCGGCCCGATGGGATGGAAGTTCGACAGAGAGGGGGGCAGCGGCGGCGCACGTTCGGCTGAAAAACCTTTGGGGCCCCCTGAATATGATGGGGGCACCAATGCAATCGCGTGAGGCGCAACAGAGGCGGGTCATTTGTCCCGAGGAGAGACGGGGAGGGGGTGGAGGGGG